ATCAGATAAAGCCTTTGCCTGAAATCCTGCTGTTTATTGCAGTTCAAATGCCGGGCCACAGACCTCTCTAGGGAAGAGTTTAGTTTCCTCAGATGTATGACTACTGATTGCAACTATTGCCCTTGGGAAAACATTTAATATATTTATTGCTCTATTTGGTAAAGTATCAAATGAGCACATCTGATACCTCCCTGAGGAAAACTCTCCCAAACTCCACTGTGATTCTGCCAACAATCCCCCCAGAAAAAAAAAAAAAAGAGAAAAAGAAAGAAGACAAACTTGTGCAGATTAAAAAAATGCTGAGTAACACTACAGACAGGGAACATTACTGACAGACCTGCTGTGAGTTTAGAACCAGCCTCCAGATTCAGTGGCAAATAAATCTGTAATGTTTTAAGATGAGAGAATCTAGCAGGGTGATCATTAAGGAGGGAACAGGACTCTATTCCTCCTTATGTGTGTTTTTCAAGAAATACATACTAGCTCTTAAAACTGGCACTAACAGTACTGCTCTTAGAAAGGAAATTATTTCTACCTGCACAGGTGTAACTGCAGACCTAATTTGAGGTAGTTTGTGAGCAGTTCTTATCGAAGAGGAACCACAAAAGTAAAAAAAGAGCAAGACTGACGCTGCAGTTGTAGGCCCTCTAGAGAGAGTTCCAGTACGGACCACAAAAGGTTCCTGGTAAACTGAGGGATGTTCCACCACTAAAAACATTTCTGGAACAGAATGGATTGTGGAGCAACAGAAACACATGGCTAGTATTTTGGACTCTGGTGGATTCCCTGTTGATATTGAGATGACAAGTAGTGGTGAGGAAGGGCAGGGTTGCAGAGATAGCTCTTACCTTTTATTTTAAATAAAACCAGCATAAGGCAACAACTGTTCTGTTGGGTCAAAATTGTGGGCTTATAAAGCACAATGTTTACAGAATATCCTGTCCACAAATGTGGAGTAAGGTCTTCTACTGTGCTTAACCATAAAGGGATTTCTCAGAAAAAGGGAATCTCCAGCTTCCATCTTAGGCACAAACAGCCAGCAGAAACTCCCCTTGGCTTCACGGGTCCAGCGGACACTGCAGAACTATCTGCAAAGCACTACAGTGAGTGAAAAGAGATGTTCCCTTCATACAGGATGAAGCTTATTGGGAAGATGTGCAGAAAGGAGCTAATGCTGGATATATATGAACATAGGGGAGGGCTTGAATGATGCAATTGTGTTGTTGCTTTTGACTAACAGGAGGGATCTTCTTTCTTTGAGAGAATGAGGTTAGAAATCTGAGAAAAAGTGCTTTCCTTTCCTCAGACCACAAAAGAATGAAAAACTGTGGGGGATTTGTCATATAAATACTTAAGACTTGTATCATTAAGAGCGGGCATGCCTTTTTGGAAAAGAAGAACACCCTTAGGAGGGGATTTTTTTTTTCTTCAGCCTCCATTTCCCTGGCAATACTGGTACCAGAAGGGCAGACATAGGCATTCTGACATAAGGAACTTTATACCACAATAAGTCACATTGTCTGGTATTGGAAACGTCATGCTACTGCTGGCTCTGCACCTACATGATATGGAAGCTGTAGCCCTTTGGTGTACTGGCACAATCAAAGTAGTACAACTTTGTGCGGTTTTTGCTAATAGTGATCCACTTCATGACAGCTAAATCTAGATAAACCAACCACTCTGTCTCCATTAAGTTTTCTCCATTGCTAATGCATCTTGTATTAACAAACATTGTTGATGTGTAGGAGTTTCAAGACGTTCAAAGACTGAGAAAATAACTCTGTGTAACTACAGAGAAAAGGGTAAAGAGTTTGGTAATTCAAAACAACTCACTCAGGCAGCAAAGAGCATGGGAAGACTGTTTTCCACTAAGCTGTATTGCAAAAGGCTACAGCAAGTAACATGAAATGAAAATGTGAAAAAGAACCACAAAGGAGACGTAAGATGAAGGGCGTTGGGGTTATACACATCATGGAAGGGATCCCATCAAAGTGCAAGGTGAATCTAACCACACTCACAACAATGAGGAGCAGTACAGGAAAGAGCAAGTTCTTTTATGCAACTGAAAGAGAAATGAGCTCACTGAGTTCAATGAGTTTATCTTACGCCACAACTAGATGTTTGCACTCGTGCACTGTTTTCACTTTTATTTACATAAGAAAGGTCTACAGTAAGTTACTCCTGGCAACATGCTCACAACACAGATCTTGCCTGAGCATGTAGGAGAAAAAGATTTATTTTCAAAGCCTTCAAGTCATCAGATTCTTATGAAATCCACTCCTTTTCTCTTGAAGGAAATTACATTGGCTTGGATCTAACGTGTATTATTCAGTTAAGCCACTTGCGGAAATAACCAAGGTTTAGACCATATCCTTTCACAGTAGGATCTTTAAGAAGAGAGAAGATAGCTGACTTAGGGAAAAGTAGAATGGCCAGAAAGATGAGAGTTTGTTCTCTGAGCAAGAGAGACTTAGAATTAGGATTATGTTTTTACGTAAATTAATAATAACATAGTTCTCCAGGGAGAACTTTTGTGATTAATTTCTTCCCTCAGTGGGAACAAGTCAAAATTATGCACCAAAATAAAATGTAACAGTCAGCCTGAGGGGCACTCAAAATATTTTATTTTCTATTCTGTTTTCTCTACTAGTTTGTAGCAGGACTTTTGAAATTAGTAATCATTTTAAACTGAAAAAAACGGAACTTTTTCGTTCAGTAAATGTCCACTGTAGAATATTTTGATAGTTCTGAAAATTTTTTTCCCTCAACTAATTTTTAAGATAGAAACCTGCTGCGATCTCTCCCACAAGTAGTTGTGGCTTTCTTACATTTATTCAGTAAAAAGCAGTTACTGAAATAAGAGCTCTGAAACCAGTTCTACTATGAAATGAACCTGAACACTGTTGGTGTAAGTTCCATCTCCATAACCAATAAAGCAGTATCCCATACTTTTAATTCTCACAGGCAGTAGGGCTGCTATACTCTTTCCATCTATGATGGACAAAGTCATGGCTGAGAGAGAATGATGTTAGTATATGTGCTAAGACTTGAATGGAGCATGCCATAAATTAGCTCTTCTGAATAAGGCCTAATTGCAGGATATTAATGGGAAACTTTTAAAATATATACCCATTCTTCTGCTGGGTGTTGTCTTCTATTGTTTTCCACGGATCCCCTTTGGAGCAGACTTTTATGAGCTATCATGAAGCAAGAATTCACCTGCAGCTTGAGGACTGGATTATCCCTCAGTAACAAGAGGTTCTAACGAAAGCAAACCCTAGCACTCTGTTCCTATATTTTTCATTAAAGCGGTCAGTAGATAACATACAGAGTTATTTATGCTTCAGATGTTACGAGGGGGGTGGGAGATGTGAATTTGGATGCCATCAGTATATCAGCCTCCCATATCATGAATAAGTACATGAAGAACAACACTGTTGCATGCAACCATGGTATTAGGCTTTTTAAAGCATACCTTGAGAAAGAAAGGTTATAAATTTTGCCTTCAGGAAATGGTTCTGATCTTTGGATTCCAAACTGGCAGAGGTGATTCTCAGCAGCTGAGAAAAGGTTCAGCAGTTTTGGCTGCCTGGGACTGAATGTGCTGACTCTAGACAGCTCCTTGGTCACAGCTCTGTCTGGTTTTCTTTCTGGAGGCCCAAACTGTCCCCGGACACTGCTCTGTGAGTTGCAGACTTTAACCCGGCTTCCCAAAGCCAGACCCTTTAGAAGTACACCATCCATGGTGCTGGACTCTCTGCACCCAGGTACTTTCCTCTAATGACTTTCAACTGCAGCTCATAGCAGAAAGATGAATCACAGCAGAACACCCGAAGATATTTTCATACACTTTTCTGAATCTCACACTACAGGCTTGCTGCCATCCTACATTGGCACAACAGCATATAGCTCGGAAATCTTTGAAGGTGAGGTGTATTTAAATTTTTGAAAGCTCGTGGGCACCAGAGATGCTGATCATTCTTCAAGAAGGTGTTGGCAGACCCAAGCAGGAGCTGATCACGGAGTGTCAGGGAGTCTCAGCCACGGTTGCCTCGGCCAGCCTCTGCCGGTGCAAACGCCTTCAGAAGTCCTGGCAGTTTTGAGCCCTTGTGTTGCTCAACATCCACATGTGTCCATCCACCAAGGCCCCAGGGTTTTGGATCAGGGCCTTGTACCCACTGAGAATCAGGAGCGCACAATGCCAGGACTCTCCCCCGCAGTTGTGAAATGTTATGATGACCTGTTTTTTTTTTTTTTTTTTTTTTTTTTTTTTTTTTTTTTTTTATTATTTCTTATTTTTTTTTTCTTTAGCTGTGAGAAGCTAAATAAACTCAAGCATGTGGAGGCAATTATGCAACGTAAACGCCAGCTATCCCTGTTTCTGTTTAGAAGCTGTCAATCAGCCTTTTCAGAAAAATATTTATTTTTGCCTAAAAAGTCCCTCCGCAATGATTTGAACTCGGAGGCCACCGCCACCTCCGCTTCCGGAAAGGCGGCCGGTTCGGCTGGTGAGGGCTGGGGACAGCTCGGGAGGGCGCCCTGCCCTCGGCTTCAGGCTGGCCAAGGCCCGCCCGGCCCCGGCTCCCCGCTCAGGGGCCGCCCTCCCTCAGGAGGCGCCTTGTGCCCTGCACGCCCGTGCCGCCGAGCCGAGCCGAGCCGAGCCGAGCCGAGCCGAGCCGAGCCGAGCCGAGCCGAGCCGAGCCGAGCCGAGCCGAGCCGAGCCGAGCCGAGCCGAGCCGAGCCGAGCCGAGCCGAGCCGAGCCGAGCCCCGCCCGGCTCCCGCGGTGGGAAGCGGCGGACCCAGGGCGCGCAGCCGGCCCCAGCTCACGGCGCCACCTGGCGGCAGCGCTAGCACACCGCCCCCACAGCCCTCTGGCTGGCGGAGGGGCGGAGTCGGGGCTCTTCGCCTTTAGGGGGGGACGTACCTGTGGAGGGGGGTGAGGTGGGTTTTGTTGTGTGTGCTGTGGTGTATGCGGGCAGCCCGCTGGACTGGGAGCGGTGGGGCGTCGGAGAAATCCCGAGCTGCGTAGAGTCGCCGCCGCCGGGCGCTTTCCCTTGTTTTCTCATGCCCCCAGCTCCTCCTCTGTGGGGGAGGGCGAATAGTTCAGTCCTAGCAACATGGCCGCCACCATGAAGAAAGCGGTGAGTGTGGGAGGAGGGCATGGCCGGGTTTTTTCTTTACTTTCCCGGCCTCTTCCTCCGCCGTGGGCTCCCACGAGGAGGGCGCAGCTCCTCTCCTGCCGCCCGGGGCGGGCGGGTCGGGCCCTCCGCCCGTTGGGGGCCGTCGTCTCTCGGCGCTGAGGCGGCGCGGCCATGTCGCCTCAGCGCTCCCTCCCGCCGCTTCCCGCCCCGAGCTCCAGCCCCGCCGTTCGCGCAGCCCCCCGGGCGGGCTGATGTGTCCCTTTCGCTAGGCCGCTGACGGGTCAGGCCAGCTCCGGGATACTCCGGTCGTTTGTCGGTGGGTTAAGGTCCTGGCGGTGTTATTTTGGCTCTGTCGGGATCACATGTCGTGACATCAAACGTGCAGGTGCAGATCTGGTTACGCTGACGTTACGGAGTCTATGCAGGTGCAGTTGTGAACTAGCAAAAGCTCTTTCTGGCTGCACAAACTGCCTGGAAGTGGGGGACCCCCCGCCCGTGGCCAGCAGCGTGTCGCCTGCTGCAGCCCCTGCCGCCACCTCTGCAGCTCAGACGACGAGAGGCTGGCTGCGTGAGGCACAATTCAGTGGGTTTAAAAATCTCTTGTAGCACCGTAGCACATGATGGCTAGCCAATTAGCATAAAATGATGTTTCTGACAGATTACACTGATGTGTTACGTTGCACCTTTGAGTGATCTTGGAGCAGAGGTGGCCGATTCAACTGTCAGTGCTGTCAAGGAAACAGTCTTTGTCATTAGGATGCCATGGACAGCTGGTGTTTTAATTGGATGTTATTAGGGCCTCTGTCCAGCCAAATGTGGGTATTGCTGATGTCCTTCAGGAAGTGTTTTAAGGAATCAAGTGTATAAGCAGAATGTAGTAGCTGTAAGACTATATTTCAGAGGCTTTGTAGGAGTAATCTTGTAGTGAGATTCAAGTTAATGTAAGAAATGAAGTCTTCATTTTGACCTCTCCTTGCAGGCTGCAGAAGATGTCAATGTTACTTTTGAAGATCAACAGAAAATTAACAAGTTTGCAAGAAATACTAGTAGGATCACAGAGCTGAAAGAAGAAATAGAAGTGAAAAAGGTATATTTGCTTCAAATATAACTTATTCTTCATTGCCCTGAATTAATGTTGAGCTGTAACGCTGAAAATAGAGGCTGGGGGGTTAAGTAATGCTTTGGTTCTAATATGGGATTTCTGATACTTTGAAAATAGCCAGAGAATGTTAAAGTGGAAAAAGAAATAATGAGAAATAAAGGCCACTAGTATATTTCTGCACACAGTTCTTAGAACTCCTTAATTGTCATAATTGAAGGATTGTCTATAGATTATAAACCCGGATAGAATGAAATTTGGCTAGGGTCATCAAGGGCACAAGAAAAGCTTCTATAAATACATCAGTGATGAAAGGAAGACTAGAGAAAATGTAGGTCGTCTCTGGAAAGAAGCAGGAGACTTAGTCACTCAGGATATGGAGAAAACTGAGGTACTTAACAATTTTTTTGCCTCAGTCTTCACTGGCCAGGGCTCCAGACACACGGTCAAAGATGCAGAAGGCAAAGGCGGGGACTGGGAGAATGTAGAACCATCCACTGTAGGAGAAAATCAGGTTTGAGACCATCTAAAGAACCTGAAGGTGCACAAGTCTGTGGGACCTGATGAGTTGCATCCGTGGGTCTTGAGGGAACTGGTGGATGAAGTGGCTAAGCCACTATCCATCATCTTTGAGAAGTTGTGGCAGCCCACTGAAGTTCCCACGTGACTGAAGAAGGGGAAACATAACCCCCATTTTTAAAAGGTGAAAAAGAGAAGACCTGGGGAACTACTGGCCAGCCAGTCTTGCCTCTGTGCCCAGCAAGATCATGGAGCGGATCCTCCTGGAAACTCTGCTGGGACAAATGGAAAATAAGGAGGTGATTGGTGACAGCCAGCATGGCTTAACAAAGGGCAAATCATTCCTGACAAATTTGGTGGCCTCCTACAACAGGTTTACAGTGTTGGTGGATAAGGGAAGATAACTGATGTCATCCACCTGGAATTGTGCAAAACGTTTGACACTGTACTGCACAACATCCTTGTCTCTAAATTGGAGAGACATGGATTCGAAGAATGGATCTCACGGTGGGTAAGGAATTGGCTGGATGGTTGCACTGAAAGAGTTGTGGTCAGTGGCTTGATGTCCAAGAGGAGAGCAGTGACGAGTGTTCTTCAGGGGTCAGTGTTGGGCCCAGCCCTGTTTAACATCTTTGTTGGTGACATGGACAGTGAGATCAAGTGCACCTTCAGCATGCTCCCCGATGACACCGAGCTGTGTGGTGCAGTGACACGCGGGAGGGCAGGGATGCCATCCAGAGGGACCTTGACAAGCTTGAGAGGTGGGCCTGTGCAAACCTCATGAAGTTCAGCAAGTCCAAGGGAAAGGTCCTGCACGTGGGTTGAGGTAATCCCAAGCACAAATCCAGGCTGGGCAAGGAGTGCATTGAGAGCAGCCCTGCAGAGAAGGACTTAAGGGTGTTGGTGGATGGAAAACTGCCTATGAGCCAGCACCGTGCGCTCGCAGCCCAGAAAGCCACCCGTGTCCTGGGCTGCATCCAGAGCAGGGTGGGCAGCAGGGCGAGGGAGGGGATTCTCCCCCTCTGCTCTATTCTCAGGAGACCCCCCTGCAGTGCTGGGTCCAGCGTTGGGGCCTCCAAGAGCAGAAGGACACAGAGCTGCTCGAGGGGCCAGAGGAGGCCACGAAGATGCTCGGGGGGCTGGAGCAGCTCCCCTGGGGGGCCGGGCTGAGAGAGTTGGGGGGGTTCAGCCTGGAGAGGAGAAGGCTCCAGGGAGACCTTAGAGCGGCCTCCTAGTGCTTAAAGGGGGGACAGGAAAGGTGGGGAGGGACTCTTGATCAGGGAGTGTGGGGGTAGGATGAGGGATAACAGTTTTAAACTGAAAGAGGGCAGATTTAGATTAGATAAAAGGAAGAAATTCTTCCCTGTGAGGGTGCTGAGGCACTGGCACAGGTTGCCCAGAGCAGCTGTGGCTGCCCCCTCCCTGGAAGGGTTCAAGGCCAGGTTGGATGGGGCTGGGAACAAACTGGGCTGGTGGAAGGTGTCCCTGCCCGTGGCGGGGTGGGGTGGAACTAGGTGATCTTTAAGGTCCCTTCCAACCCAAACCATTCAATGATAATGGCTGGTTTTAGTGTTCATAAAATTTCTTCCTTGAGATTGTTGATAGTTATTTTTTTTCCTGAACCAGTAAGGCAGTTGTTTGTTACATTCTTACTTTGATGTGTTGACAGAGATTGTTATTATGAGTGCAGAGGTTTTCTTTTGCTAGGCTGAAGAGGATACATCATTCTAATTTTCTTCTTTAGTATTAATTCACTTTACTTCAATGTCAGTCATAGCATTTCCAAGGATGTTTTACTGGGTTTTTTAAAAATGCTTGTACTGTCACAAAACGTTTTCTCTAATTACTTTTCCTGATATGTGCATTGTTAAAATGTTGCTTTTTAATGTTGATGTTCCATTGATGGCTTAAGGTGCTGCGACTCTAAGCAATCCTAATTTTGCAATAAAGTAATTAACATTTTACATCTTCTTTATTATTTTCTTTCTGTTCTCTAACTAAATTAAAAAATTCCTGTGTAAGAGCATATCAGATATCAGTGAAATTTAAATAGACTGTATTTCCCTTGTCTAGACAGTTAATTTTCCTATTAATGACAGATAATGGGTATTGACTAGAAATTTCTACTGATACAGGTCCATTGAATTTCATACTTATGCTAAATTACAGCTCTGGCACTGTTCTGTTAAAGATGTTGATGCCGTGGTGGTGGGTAGGATTTTTGCCCAAAATGTGAACTTGCTGATTTCCTTATTCAACTCATAGCATGACAATGTATCCATTGAAATAATTTACTTAGTACAAAGTGACCACCTTTCTTATGTTTTGATAAATAGAAACAACTTCAGAATTTGGAAGATGCTTGTGATGACATCATGATGCTTGATGATGGTGATTCACTTCTGATACCCTACCAAATCGGAGATGTCTTCATTAGTCATTCCCAAGAAGAGACACAAGAGATGCTGGAGGAGGCAAAGGTTTGCCTGGGCAAAAAGATGCTTTACTGCTGTGGCTGCTATAGTGTGATGAGCGTTGAAATGGGTTGATCTGTTCATCCTTTGAACCTTTTACTTTCTAAAGTTCATGTTTTGTTTATGATTTGAAGAGAGGAATGTGCTTGCACATTATGTCGTATCTAGGATGTCAGTACGCAAAGTCATGCTTGCCTTTGGCTTTGTAATAAGTCTTACAGCCTGACTTGGCAAAAAATTGGCAAAGGGCTTCACTGCTTATATGTTGCTGACAAACATGACTCAGTTTGTTTTACCTAACTGGTTGATTTTTTTTTTTTTCTTTTTCAGAAAAGTTTACAAGAAGAAATTGAAGTGTTAGAATCCCGAGTGGAATCAATTCAGAGGGTGTTGTCTGACCTGAAAGTTCAGCTCTATGCAAAGTTTGGAAATAACATAAATCTTGAGGCTGAGGACAGTTAAAGGTGTTCTAAATATACAGTACAACTTTTCTGTGTTTTATTAAATATTTTGATAGCATTGTTCCAATTATATTAAAAAAAAAAAATCCACTGCTTTATTTTCTTTTTTTGTTGTTTTTTTTTAAATTTTCCTGTCCTAGGTTCCATCTATTTAATGAGAACTTTCTTACTTTGGTTATTGCAGTTATTTATTTGTTTAGGAAAGCATTATCTTCATACTGTTGGTAAAGCATCAAGATTGGAATATTTACATTGTTTATTAAAGTAATAAAGTCAGGCACATATTGTAGTTTCCTTGGTCTTGTTTTCCACTCATGAAAATATCTAGGTATAAAACCAATACAAATGAGGAATTTTGATTTGCGCTGTAATGGTTGTTTGAGAAAAGTTTCTCTGTAACATACAGGGCATGATTCAGCTATAATGCTATTTAGCTGTTTTTAACAGCCCTCCTGGAAATACTAAATCTATCCCTTGTCTTTCAGTCTTAGCACAGATAGCATAAACACTGTAAGCTCGGTGCACAACGTGGCAACAAGTTGACAGGGGAGAAAGGAGGGCTCTTTAAGGCTCGCACTGGTATGGAAGAAAAGCTTTTGGAGTCACAGTCTTATTCAGTCATTTACTACTTTGTGTTTGGGAATCACAAAAGATGCTAGAAGTCAGAATGGTGAGTCTTCTAATTTTCCTGAACAATCATTTTCTAAATCCACATTTATATACCAAATTAATGTCAGAATTCCTCACAGATGATGTTGCTATGTCAGCATCAATCAGTGGAACTATGCCTCTGTTACTGTGTGAAGTTGAATATAATTTTTAAATGTCTTAATTTGCTGACTCCTTACATCCTTAAAAAAATTAGGTACTGTCTCACTGTAATTCTGCTTTTGGACTTTTGCCTGCTTTGATTAATGTATTGTTCCATGGAAATACCTGCTCATTATGACTTTATTTTTAAAAATTAAATCTTAGCGTACTTAGGTCATTTTTTTTAAACTATTTTCCAAAACAGTCTGGACAGAGAATTCCATTGGTCAAATACTAGTCTACATTCATTGTTCTTACTATAAATAATCAGAGCATGAGATGAGTACGTTTTTATAAGGTGATTAATACCTACCTGTCTTGTGTTGATTGTGTAGCATCTCTTCTTCAAACAGTGTGAACGTGGAGGTAAAAAAAAAACACTTGTTTTCTCTGCTGTTGAAGTAGTTCTAGCAGGGTAGTGATACTGAACTTGATCTTCAGTATACCTGACCAGGATCTCCCCAGTGCGTTGTTATTTATGAATCACAGCACTGTAACTCACACAGTTGTTCAAGTAAGTTTATTAACCTGTGTAAGGTTCAGCATAGCCATAAGAGAGGACTCTTCGATGATGAAGATCTAATACCTCAGCACAGGCACTTGTATTATGTACAGTGTACCTCAGCTGATGGATGTAAGTCTCAAAAGCTGTGTTAATGTTCTGTCTAGCCCTGGTGTTTCACAAGATTATTTTTGGTAGAATTCCAATGGTTATATGATTCTGCTGCATGTACAAATACCCCGGATGTAACTAGAGATTTTTAATCTGTTTTCGGTTGCAGTTTTAATTGAAACCAACACCTCAGGAAAGGGTTAATGTTCTTCCTTACTTCCTGTGTGACTACTTCCGCTACTCTTAAGTAAAATGTGGATATGCTAGCCATGACAACTCAACTCCTCTGTCTGCCAGCCAGTTCTTGTAGTCAGTCTAAGTGTGTTGAGCCTTTAAGGAGATATAGGTGTTCCTTTACATAATTTCTGAACATACAATTTTCCATGTTAGGCAGGTGTTTGGCACCCAACTACTTAGAGCAGTTCTGGGTTGACCCAGAGTTGCTATTTTGGGTACTAAAGAGAGAAGAAGTTGGCCAGTTAGTTGATAGCAACTGATATGAGTATTGTGGATTTAGGCGGCTCAGCTCTGCCTTATCCTTATCTTGCTTTATTTGATACAGCTCTTAGTCCAAAACTGTCTGAGAACAAGTTTACAGTCATAGGAGGTGCTGGTATCTTGAGGTTTTTTTCTAAACAGCCAAACCATTCATTTGGTATGTTAAAGTAAACCATCTAATGCACTTGTCTCTATAATTATAAACCAAAGAAAATGTAAAAGACTTCTTTTTCAGGTGAAAACTGAACTAGTGGTGGAGTTTGACCCATAATGAAAAACATCCAGCAGATGGCATCAAAGAACTGGGAAACCTGTACGGTAAGCCCATGCCTAGGCTGTGAGTGCCAGTGCTGATTTCAGTAAAGTGAAATTTTGGCTTTGATGATCAGATTCTCATTAATTGATTCGTAAGACTTTAAAATTCACTCTTAAGTGACTTCTGTGCCAGCTCTGCTGTTCTGAGTGTATTCACGGCTGTACAGACTGCAGGTATTTATAAGATTGTCATTTCGAGATAGGCTGTAGTATGGATATGGCTTCATTATGGAAAAGAAAAAGGCAGCTACTAAGGTTTAACTGCGATTCCAGTGGCAGCTATAAGGACCTTAGTTCAGTGAAGGATCCAAAAGGAGAATGCTGGCAAGGTATAGAGAGCTTGCATTAATTCTGCTGTTCTCTGATATCCTAGGAGTGGAATTGTCCATATATACAGCCTTGGTGTTTAGGGAAAAGAAGGCTGTTAAAGTGTTCTTGTGAATGCCAAAGGTTTTTCTGGTGCTGGATTTCAGTCCTTTAGAGTTTGTTTTGTGACCCCACCCCTTTATTTTCTTTCTTTTTTTTTTTCTGATTATCATTTAGGCTGTTTCAGTAGGCCTTCCTGCACTACTAGAGGTTAGGCTTTTATGTGTGTGTTGTGTCTTTCCTGTTTGTTTCGTCCTTACTACAAACTGTATGTCCATGCAGCCTTGAAAATCTAGATGCATTTTTGCACCAGTTTCCTTGTGTGGTTTGGACAATTATGTTTGCAAGTCAGGCAAGTAACTATCCAACAGACTTTTTTAGATTAGTCTATGGATTTTTGTAGTTTACAGAACTACTGTCCCAGGCTGTCATTTGATATTTTTATATACATAAAATAGACCATGCAGGAAACTTTTTTGTTCCTAAGTAGAAGTTAATTTACAGATCGTCCATCAGTTGCTTGAAAGTATTTGATGGAGTACTAGTTTTTCCTTCTAATAACCTTTCTCCTCCCGAGTACATATATGGAATTGTTTTTTACTTGGCATTTATTCTGTTTAGTGCCCCATCTTCCAAGTACTTTTTATTTTTGGTAGATTGGAAATTTTTGTTATCTCTAATAATGTTTGCCTTACACTTGTCTTGTTTAGGTAATGTAAGTCCATGGAAAAAAAACTGGTCCTCTGTACATGTCATGAATAATTTTGCTGAACTTGACAATATACATTTTTTAATATTGTTGTCAGAATGCAAATAGTTTGCTGTCATTCTCTGTATTGTCAAACGAGTGACATTTGTAAAGCACTTGAAGGATTAAATGCACCATAAAAGTGCTAAGTGTTATTTTAATTTAAGGGCTTTGTTGAGAGCATTGGGCCAATGATCTCTTATGATGTTTTAGTGATTAAATTAGCTATTCAGTTCAATCTTTGTATTAAAATAAGTTTCTGTCCTGTTTTTGTTGTGCAAGTCATAGAGTTACCAGTGGCTGGCTTTTCACTTAGTTGCATCAATTAAAGCAGATAAACCAGCAAAACTGCAGCCAGTGAAATATAGCTCATTTCAGTGCATGATGTCAAGGAGACTTGACTTACCAGTTTTTTGAAGTAGCCAGCTAAAAACTCTGTAACACATAATAGGACACAATTATTGTACTTATTATATATTCAGGGGCTTGTTTGTGATTCTGTATTTTGTCAGCTGATATGAAAATGTTTTCCACATGATGATCTCTGGCATAACCTTCTCCAGTGGAACCTTCATTATTGCTCATTGCTCATTGCTTTTGCATAGAAGATCCTTGGATACCATTACACTCCATAATATGAATGTGGTTGATAATTGTTCAGTAATTATAGGAAGTGATATATAGCTGTAGTACAGATAATTTTGTGGTATTAACTATTACTTCAAAGAGCAAAAAGAGATTGAATGCTGAATGCTAAAGCCATATCTTCTGTAGGAGCAACAGAATTAAGTAGCTTGGTTTGCATGAGTCAGTGGTTCAGATAATTTATCTAATGTTATTCTAATAGTCTGATTCATGAAAGAGAAAAAAATGTGGACGTATATAGGTATGATAAGGCCTGACAGAAATTATTTACAACCAAGTTTGTCCATATATTGATTGTATGAGTCATACAGAAAAACAAATTATTTTGTAATTAAATGTTAGCTGCTGAACGGACTGCACAGAACACAGTGCACCAAACACATGCGTAAATGGCTATGAAGGACTTCCCTCAGCAAGAGATGAAATAGGTTTACAGTTAAGGGGGACTGCATCTGGGTGTTAGAGATGTAATAAAAGAACTATAAACCTGAGTAGAACATCAGCCATTTACTGCATATTTACAAAAATCTTTTGTTTGTTGTTGCTCTTCAATGCTGGTTAGTATATTGTGACTTTGATCTCAATTTATAAACTGCAGGTTTCATTAGGTGGCCCTCTATACTCATGCCAGCAAACCCCCCACTGGGGGACACTGAGTGGTGGGGTGCAGGATCATAATGTAAGTTCGTCAAGGGATTGCTTCAGGATATCCCTGGGGTCTGGTCTGGCATTGTTACTACTTGTACAGGGGAGAGGAAGGACAAAGTGTACTTGATGTTGAATTACAGGCTTTATGATACTACACTTGGCCATTTCCTTAAGCTATTAGGAAAATGTCCTGTTTGCTTTCTCAACACAGCTCAGCACAGGTGAGGAAAAACATTGTTCAGTGGATTTTTAGATTCTGTCAAGTTTTACCCTTTCACACACAGTACAGAAGTCCATCATATCATCATGTTTGGATGATTTTCTTGCTTTGTTAACTGTAGCATAACAGACTTACAGTGCTCTGGTAAAGTTATAATGTTATTTTAATTATATTTACAGTTGAAATTTCTACTGTCAAGTATCTGGATAGAAGTTAGAATTAAACTAGACTTACTGGTTAAGGGCTAATCATTGAACAACAACAACCTATAGCACACGAGTATAAAACATCTCTGCTTTTGGGTATGCAATAGTGGTAAATCAATTCAGATAAAAATTATGTATCTCAGTGCACATGTCTAAGGACCGATGGTAACTCTGCACCCAAGACTGTTTTTTATTAACACTTGGGGGGAAATTAATAGAA